TAGGAAGGAACCTTGACGTGGTTCATGTGCTTTAAACAAATACCTTCCAGACAGATACATTCTCACTCGTTGTACTGTGAGGGATAAATGGTCAGAAATTTGATTTCTTTAGATTTTTTTTTTTGTCTGAATTTATTTATTACTCAATAAATCAAACTTTTTAAAATGTATTAATAAAATCATAGTTAATCTACTATTTGTTTTCAACGGTTTGTATTCTTCGAATTGGCTAATAAAAGTTAGCAAATCAATAAAAAGGGCTGGTGCTAGTTGCCGATACAGATTGTGATAAATTTGGCTGATTAAGCTGATGCAGATTAATCTGAACATCACCAAGAATATTCAGATTAATTTTGAATTTCCAAATTCCTTTTTTTATTTTTAGTTGACATTGAGTACATTGTAGGTATCAAGAATAGCTAGTATAGGTATAATTTTTTATCAAATTTTGCATATGTTTCATGTAAAAGATAATGACCAGAATCTAGTTTATATTTATAAAAAAAAAATCCAAAACAATAGTTTGGGAGGGAGCGATTTTAAGTTAATTTTTGCTTGAAGTTCAGACTTATATTGTCTTAACCAGTTTAGCATTAAATTTTTTTTTTTTTTTTTGAAATTGCGTGGTTATTTTTATAAAAGGCTGCAAACACCGAGTCTTAATCACACACAAAAAAAATCAAAATCGTGCAAATGGGGTGAATCGATGAGGGGAACTATTGGGAGAAGCCATAGGGGGAGCCCCCCTGGTGTCAAATAAAAACCTTTTGAAAATATAAATCCGAGTTAGTATAGAGTTGACAAATAGTAAATGGGGAAGGAAGGCTTATTTGGTATTAGAGAGTACCACTGTCTGGGATCGATTGTGTTATAGCAATCGTGGCTCAGTAGTTAGAGCATTGGATTCGTAATCTAAAGGTTGCGAGTTCGATCTCTACTCGAAGCTCATAAAGTTATCGGTAAGGTTGGAAACGGAGAGCCAACTTATAAATGCTATTGTCTTTGTGGTGGTGCTCTGTGACAAGACCATTAGGACTTCTTAGAGCACCTTAATAACAAAAAACAAAAAAAAACAATGGGGGAGGGGGCGGTAATATTAAAAAAAAAATCGCTAAAGGAAAAATAAATCCTAGATCCGCCCCTGTAGTTCACAATATAATTTCACAAGTGCTTACTTATCTACTATTCTACTATATATTTTACTTTAAAACTATACTAATTCGTGCTACAATAAACATTTATTACAAATTTAATCAATTTTGCTGTTGTAATAATCTGGTTTCTTTATACACATATATTTATATAAACATATACCTATACTACAAATATATATCCAAATAAAGATAATATTTATATATAATTTTTATTTTCCCCAAGTTTTTAATACTATATACTAACGAGTTTTCAAGTTCTTTTGTTTTCAATTTTCTTTACCGTTTCCATACCGAATAGTTTTGCTGTGTACCTGGCCTACTAATCTCTTTGTTTATTTTATTACAATTACTATAAGCTACTTATTGTTCTTTTACCATACCATAAAGTTTTTATCTCTAAATATAATAATATATTTAATAATAAAGAAAGTTTTGCAAAAGATATACTTATAAACGAATTAAAACAACGTATTGAAAATATTGAAGGAAAAAACAGCAAGACTAACGTAAAACCACTTTATAGTGAAATAATAAAGCAAGGTTCGGCAACAAACACAGCGGTCGTTATGGCAATAACTGCTAACTCAAAGTTAAAAAAGTCCAAGTCAAAAAACATCGTTGTATTCGGCATGCCAAGGAATCCTAACAAAAGCGATACCCAACTTACAAACGAACTTCTAGGAAAAATCGAAATTCAAACCCAAATTTTAAAATTAAAGCGTGTTAGACAAACACTATCAAAGGGAAATCAAAATAAGCCTGAACCACTCATCATAGAGCTTGAAACCACCGAAAATAAAAATGCCATACTTGCTGCAGCCAAGAAACTAGCAAACTCCGATTATGAACACATTTCAATCTGTCCGGACCGCATTCCAGCAGAATAATCCGAATACCGAGAACTGCTTATAAAAAGTCAAGCAGCCAATAAAGCGCTCGAGAATGCAGGGAATAAAGACAAATATAGATTTGTAATAAGATCAAACTCACTTAAGTGTGTTGACTTAACAAAGAAAATATTAGTTAACAGCACCCAAAGACACCTATTTGTTAATAACAATACTGTGAAACAAACCCTTTATCAATTATAAACTATTCCGGCGGAAACCACCAAGTTGCTACCTAAGTCCTGTCAACCTCTCCAAAAAAAACTCTGTCAATCACCACTCAACACGAATGCAGCCAATTTTTACCCAGCAAAAACCAAATGCCTGCCATCTATACTCGTAACAAACGCCTTATCGATTTGTAACAAAACCCAATTAATCAACCAATTAATCAACAATACAAAAGTCACGGAAGACACTGAAGCCGATCTAGCGTGCATATCAAAAACCTTTAAATTTAAAAACCTGGTTAAACGAGCAAAATAAAATCATAATACTGAACGAAATTATTGACAAATATTATACAATTAGCAATGAACGCAATAACCAAGTGGGTGGAAAGACTCTAATTTTGATTTAAAAAAGCTACTCTCCAAAATTTACTGCACTTACACCAATTAAAATGGAGTTACCAATTTGGGTCAAAGACCACAACAAAATTGGCAAGCTAGAGCTCACTTTAGTTAGAATCTACCCGCAACGATTACCACGAGGTTATTCATCCTGCATTGTAGCATGCGCATATATACCAGAGTGGGTAGCCAACAAGCAAAAATCATTAATCTACCAGCTTCTGCACCAAATAGAAAATATTATCTCTAGTAATACACGAGATAACAAACCTCTGATATATGTAACTGGTGACTTAACCGGTGCCAACACAAAAAATATAACCAACTTACATAGTCTTCACCAACTTAATAACCAACCAACCAGACAAAACCGTGTTCTAGATATAATACTTACAAACGCCCCAAAATCAGTATACAAATGCACAAACCTATCACCGCTTGGGAAGTCAGATCACGATATAGTCCACGCTTTTCCATTAAATTCATAATATTGCAAGACTAAACCAGCACCTACATTAGCAACATACAGATCTGGTAACATTGCAGACACGGCAGAAACTCTGACACAAACAAATTGGAAACAAATTATCCCAAGTCATTTATTAAACTTTTCTCAAGACAATGGACAAATAGCATTCGACTTATTCTACCAACACAATATTCAGATAGAAAATTATCACCAACCATTAAAAACAACTAAATTTGTCAATGATACACCATGGATGACAGCAGACATTAAAAACAAATCCGAATCCGACAAAAACAGTACCACAATGGCAATCTTGAGAAATGGAAAACAACATACAAAATTATTAACTCAAAAATATGGCACCGCCATAAACTATTCTAGAGTAACCTCACTAAAAAAACCAGCACCTGGTGGAACAAAATAAATAAAATTAAAAATGCCTCGAAAAATCAATACTTTGATACAGATTTAGTAAAGCAATTAAACGAAGGTTTTTACAATGTCTGGAATGGTTCAAAGCAGCCGGACATATCTCGCTTTATAACTAATTCAAACCACCAAAACGTACCTCTACTATTTACTACAGGCATTGTTTCAAATCTTTAAAAAAATTTAAAACAAGGATCACCTGGATCCAACCAGATCTCTTCAAAACTACTCAAATGCGTTCGTTTTGAAATCTCCGATATTTTAAGTCTTCTGTTTAACAAGTGTTTGTCTCACTCATTTACGTCTTATCAATGGAAATTTGCAAACGTAACACCTATCGCTAAATTACCAAAACCAAGTAACTGGTAAGACTTCCGTCCAATCTCACTCACATCCCACCTCTGCAAGACATTAGAAAGAGTTGTCGCCAAATTTATTATCCAACATACTCACACCATCTTATAAAACAACAAACAATATTGATTCCTACCAGGTAAAAGCACAATGGATGCAATCGCATGTGTCATACAAGACTGGTATTTTGCTAAAGACAAAAAGAAAAATTTAATTGCAATATTATTTGACTTTGCTAAAGCCTTTGACGTAATTGATCACGAACTTCTTCTTACCAAATTAACAATATAACTCCCTAAATGGCTTATTTCCTGGATTGCATCGTACCTACAGACCAGACATCAGCAAGTTTATACTAACGGCATAGTAACAGAATGGCAACCTGTGGAAGATGGAGTCATCCAAGGCAGTGCACTCGGACCCGTTCTTTTTATACTCTTCGTACTCGATATAAACGATATATTTAATTGCAATACTGAACTTTACAAATTTGCTGATGACATCCTTGCATACATTGTTGGAGACCTAGCCCACTCAACCGTACCACAGGAAATATGCGACAAAGTTAATAGCTGGTGCATTAAAAACCAAATGTTATTAAACACATCAAAATGCAAAATCATGAGCATACCTAGTAACAAACTCGACACACGCCCACCACCAATTGTTTCCATCAACTCTAAAGCTCTCGAATATGTAACCTCATATAAATACCTAGAATTAGATTTAAATATTGAAATAAACACCGACCAACACTGGCATCGCATCAAGCCCAAATTCTCCTCAGCGTAGTACCTAATTAGAAGTCTAAAAAAGTTAGGCTTTCACAGTGAATTACTAGTAACAATATACCGAAGCATTGGACTTAGCCACTTGATCCATAGTGCACCATTACTGTGTGTAAGTAGTATCAAAATAAATCACGAAATACAGCAAATACATCTAAAAACGCTTAAATCTATAGGCATTAGTCCAGAAATCGCTAGAACAAAATATAACATTGAAAACACCGACATATAGGGGAAAGGCGTCTATGATGGCATACTTAACTTTGAAGCTTCATTATTCAGTATCCTAAAGACCAATAATTACAGTTTTGATATGGATGCATTCCTTGTTACCAGTAGAACAATAATAACCCTCGGGTTTTTTTTATCAGTTTTGTTTTTTTATAAGTTATTCATATTTTAAAAAAAAAGCACAAGTATGCCATCATAGGCAACCACTACTCCTACGATGGCATAGGGGAGGGTAGGCTGGTTAGGATCAAGGGTAACTTGATGATTTCATTTAACGTTAGAGGGTAATTCCACATCAAATCACCCACTCCATTGAACCATGTGTCTTCTTTTTGTTTTATATTTTGACACATGATTCCTATTTATAAAAAAATATTGCATGCAAAATTTCAGCTAAAAATGTCAAGCGGTTGACAAGATACAGCAAATTTAATTTGGACCTGGTTTCTCAAAATGACCCGGTTTTCATAACATTCTGAAAAGTTGTTTTCCTCAATAAAATAAGAAATAAAAATGGCAAAAATATAAAAATATACATTTATAATGGTTTTTTAATGCTGAATTCAATAAATGTACTTAAAATGCTGAAATGTTAGAGGAACATCCTTAAAAATTAATAAATCAACTAGTTTATATAATCTAACTTTAGGGCCCAATATCTCAAAACACCCCCGTCAAATTTTTTTTTTTTTTGCTTTCAATATTTTAAGCTAGTTATAATCTTACTAGGCACAAAAAATCTAACTGGAAAAAAAACTGAAACATATAGAACTTTAATTTTAAAGATGTATAACTTTTTTAAGAAATTCCTAAAAAATATTTATAAATTCAATTAAAATAAATTATTCCTAATTTACAAAGTTACTTAAATATAGAAGATTTTTAAAGGTATCGAATGTGCAAGTTATTTTGACTGTATTTGTAATAGTTCACAATATTGTTGCCATTTTACTTGCACTTCTTTTATTTCAACATTTTCAAACACATAGTTTCTACCAGAACTAGAGCAAGCTTGTGGAACAGATAGTTTTTTCAATATATTGATGTTAGGAATAAAACAGTGGTTGTCTCTTTCAGGCCAGTTAAAATAGATTGATGGACCTCTTGGGTGGAGAAACTTAACTTCAGCATCAACTTCTTCTAGGTTGATTTCAGTTACAATGCCGATCCACCACTTATCATCATAAACTACCGCAACATAACCTCCTAAAGTGACAGTATCAGGTTCAAATATATGTTTCTTTTTAAGATTGTGAATTATTGTATATTTAGTGTCTGTACTACACCTCTTCGCCCCAACCCTATTATCTCCAATATGTATAAATTGATGAAAGCTACGAGTACCTGGTAGAGTTGTTACATCAGTGTACCTTTCTTTTTGCTTTTCACGTTGCAATTGTAAGTCCAATCCCTTTATGTAAATGAAGTTAACAGCCTTAATTTTCTCAACACAAAATTCATACATAGCCTCTGATGTGAGAATTTGGTTTCTGTATGGTCGTTTTAAACTTTCTTGTGCTGTTAACCTTTTTACAGTACCACCAATTCCATCGCATGGTGACTTTCCGTGGGACGTGGCAAAAAAGTTCCATTCAATTTTGAGGGAAAATTCTGTCTTTAGTTGGCATAGATTGTAAAAGCTTTTACAATTTTTGTACTGTCCTGCACAACCATGAGTGAATAAATGCAATTTGGATAAATCAAGAAATTTTGTTTTTAATATTGGTATAATTAGTTGAAATATCTTGTATACATAAGTTACATTGTGTGTAATGTCGTCTGATATAAAACAGTAAGAAATATGTTTCACTACACCATTTTCTTCTTTATAGTATATCACTAATGGATGTAAAGAACATTGTTGGGTGTTCCAGTGATAGCTCTGTATTTCATCTTGGACTACAAAAGCATAATTTTCAGCAAAGTCGCCAAGAATGATAATGTTTGATTGATCCATATTTTCTTTTAGTTGATTAAGGTATTGTGATTGAGATTTGGCAATATAAGAATGAGATTGTAGCTTTTCAAAACAAGATACCAATAGTTCAATAAACGTTGGAACATCTGTTGTTAAACTCAATAGTGTTGCACGATCAGTAGTTTGCCATTGTTTGTAGTGTATCTCAAAATCATCTTCGTATTCTTCAAAATTCTCCTACAAATACATGGTGAGCAGTTCTTTACCAGGACAATTATCACACTGTGCAAGCATGCATTCTTTGTTTTCTACTGAGCAAACAGTTTTCAAAAGTAAATCCTTATAGGTTAGTTCAATATTTAAGGCATCCACTAGCAAAATGGCATTTTGGTGATAAGAACAAACACAAACAGAATGTGTACCACTTACACCTGGCAAAATGCACCACTTTGGTCTAAGTGAAGCAAATTTTGAGTAACTTATTTGTATTTCTGGATTGTTTTCTTTGTATAATACATATAGTTCCTTTAAATTACACAAAAGCAGTTTTTTTTGTTTGTGGACGTTCTTTTGAATGCTGACATAATCTTTTTTTCCAGGCATAGTTCGACATAAATCACTTGAGTCATAAAACAATTTAACTGAATCTTCTATTTCTTTATGTAAGACTTTACCCTTATACAATGGAGAGATACCTAACAATCCTTTTTTATTAAAAATTTTTCTAGCCATCTTGGCCTGGTATTCTGTAACCGAAAAGTTATTTTGTACTTCTAATATTGACCAACTTGGGGGTGCCAGTGTTAGAAGTTGAACAATAGTTCGTTTGTTAGAACATAGAATTTTTTCTTTTACCAAGCTCATAATTTCATCAAAGTTTGCAGCCTTCTTTTTCATCCCATTGGTTTCATAACATAGTTTTGAGGAAAATTGAGTTTCAATTTTTCTAGTAGCGTTATACGCCATTTCGTTGATGCATGCAACTTTTTGCTTTCCTTCTGACAGTATATGTTTTAATGATTTTGAATGAGATTTTAGAGGAGATAAACTAAAATTTTTGAGTTCTTTATTGATCTCCTGTCTTATTTTTTTGCATGGTGATATTAGAAAATCCTCATCTTGTTCACTCTTACTTTGCTCTTCTTCTGTAAGTTCTTTTTTTCTGGCAATCTTTTGTTTACAAGGTTTGCAAAGTTTCTTCCCAGGAGGAATATTCAAACAATTTCTCATCATGACTTATGACTCTTTTATTGTAACTACGCCAAGATTTTCTAAAAGTAATTGAATTGTATGTCTGCACATTAGTTCAAAACTTTCGTTTATTTTTTGAAAAACATAAATTAATGAAATATTTAAATTTTACAGCTATATACTTGTGATTTTCTTTGTATGTCTATTGAATGGATCACAACAAGCTTTCTGCCATATAGGATACATTTTCAAATATTTTGTATTATGTCTTTCACATAATATTTCTAAGTTTGATAATTCAATATTACAGCGTAAAGATATAATTATTTTTTCTTCATTGCTTAAAGTTTCAATAACATCTTGTTGGCCTTCGCAAGCATCTAATGTCATTAACCCAATAGAACACATCTTAATAAGATAAATTATTTAGTATGAAAGTATTTCCTAAAAATAAAAATAAAATTCTTCTACTTAATTGTATGTAAAAAAAGTTTTTTAATAAATATAATTTTTAATAAATGTTGTTCTTAATATTATTATTATTAATATTAATAAATGTTGTAAAAAAAGAAGTTTTTAAATAATTATATTATTTAAATTAATAATTTTTTAAAATTTAAATATAATCTTACCAATAAATGTTGTTCTATATCTGAACTTTTATAAACTAAACTTTTATAAACTAATTTTTAATAAACTTTTACAAACTATAGTTGTCAAAATTAAAAAAAATATCATATTAACATAACAATTATTTTTTATAAAATGTTTTTATATAAAAACAAAACCGGATGTTTTTTCAGTTGTTAAGTTCGTATAATTAAGTTATCATATAATTAAGACTTCCTTAAATATATAAAAAGTTTTAACCAAAATTAATTCTTTACAGAATTCTATAATTTGCTACACATGTACTATCTTTAGGAAGATTTTTAGCAGCTTTTAAGTGATGCCATACCCTTTTAATTTTTTAATTAGTTTGCAATGAAGTGTATTGAATGCTTTTGCAGTAAGAAAAAAGCAATTCGAAGGATACAAAAAAAAAAAGATTTTTCCTACTTAGTTTTCAGTAAAAAAAAAAAGCTCTAGTTTTAAATATATTAAATAATGATATAGTATTAGATATTTCCAAATCTTTGGCTGTAGGATAATTGGAGCTTGATAAGAGTTAACAATGATGTCTCAGTGGATTTAATCCTACTTTCTATTTTTTAACTCATCTACAACTTATCACTACTAAGTAACTACTGTTCATACAAAGTAGTTTGATATGTTTTATTGGCTAAATGGTTTAAATGACAGAGATATGGCAATGCCAGGTGTTATTGAAACACTATTCTCCTCCCCTCTAACTGTAATAAAAAAAAGTTGTTTTCACCATGTCTTTTGCAATATGCTTTTTTTTAAGTATTCTTGGTAAATTGAACTAAATTAGAACATCACTAAAAATATTTTGTTGTTCCCTCACCCCTCCCCCTCGTTAGAAAATTGCTATGGGCACCCATAAAAGTGGTGTATCTTGGAAACTATGTTTCTATATGTTTTAGTTGTTTTTCCAGTTAGGTTTTTCGTGCCTAGTAAGATAATAAGTAGCTAAAAATATTAAAAGCAAAAAAAAAAAAATCTAGACGGGGGTGTTTTGAGATATATGACCCCTAAGTTTGAATATATAAATTAGGTGTGTTTTTAATTTTAAAGCATGTTCTGCTCATATTTCAGCATTCTAAGTGCATTTTTTAAATTCTGCATTAGAAAAGCATTATAAATGCTAATTTTCATATTTTTATTTTCATTATTTTTCATTTTATTAGAGCAAACGTTTTTTTAAAATGACACAGAAACCAGGTCATTTTGGGAAACCAGGTCTATATTAAAACTTTATATATATAAAGAAGTTTAAAGAAAATATGAGACCTATGGTTCAAAATCTTGAAAAATTTGGGTGATTTGATGTGGAATTACCCTAGAGTCATCCCTCAGATAAGCCAGAAAATATTCGGAACCATCCTAATTTACCATTTCATGCTACACAGCAGCATTGTAAAGTTTCGCGCATGCGCATAGGATATACTGCGTTTTATGCATATTTTGTACCAAAAAAATTTTTTTGGAGCGTCGCTTTCTTTTTACTTTATTTAAAAATAAGTTTTTCTTATAAAAAAAAAAGGTTTTCCAAACTCGCCAATATAGCAAGACACCCAACTCGTCATAGGAAGAAGTCATCATTTTCATTAAAACAAGCTGTGTCTTCCTTATTTTAAAAATAAAATTAAAGTAAGTATTCCAGTAAATGCACAAAACTTGGATATAAAATGCATAAAAATTCCCTTCCTGCACAGTCAATAATAAAATCATCTTAAATATATGAAGGGAATAAAACTACTTCAGCACATTCCAAAATCAATTTTTGCTGATTATAAAAACAATATTTGTGCACAAGGGACGTATTTTCACCAAAACTAATGTAAAGTCAGTATAGCCATTTAGATCTAATCATTTTTTCACCAAAACTAATTTTTATGGAAATATGACCGGTATGCCGTCACAGGCGCTATGCCATCATAGGCGCCTTTCCCCTACATTGACAATATATGTATAAAAATCCTAAAGCGTATTCTACGAAACCCAAATCATCCGCTAAACATAAAGACAAAAAATAAATCCAAAATAACAACAAGACAAAATATCAACTTCGGTTTCAAGATAGCTACTGCAAATACGGCTTACAAAAATAGTTTTACCCAAAGAACATTGCGTCTTATAAGAGATGAGAAACATAACTTGTACACTAGTTAATCAAAGCAACTACAAATCTAACGACCAAAATATGTGTGCATATATATGTATGAATGTATGTGTATGTATGAATGTAAAATATTCTGTAATTTCTAAATTTTTAGACCTTTGAATTTAAATAAAAGATATATAAAAGAAAAAAAAAACTTTTGCACATTAGAAGAAAATGTAGCGCACAAAAAAAAAAAAAAAAAAGACATTAAAAGTATTAATTTCTCATTATGTTCATATATATATATATATATATATATATATATATATATATATATATATATATATATATATATATATATATATATATATATATATATATATATATATATATATATATATATATATATATATATATACATACATATATATATATATATATATATATATATATATATATATATATATATATATATATATATATATATATATATATATATATGTTGTAAAGGATTTTATTATGTAATACGAACACAAATTAAAAAAAAAAAAATCTTAATAGCAGACGTGGGGCAATGGTTAATGTTCTGGTTCAGAACCAAGAGGTTCGAGGTTTGATGCCGGCCCGGCCAGATAAGCGATATTGGTAAGGAAGGAGGCGTGTACTTCCTAGTTTAATGCTCTTCCACGGTGCTCTGTGAAAAGATTGTAGCGACTTATATCTTCTATAGCTTGTTTAGATGAGCATTTGCTCAGTAGTTTTATTTATCTTTATAGCATAGGACATTTTTAGAAAAAAAAAAAAACGAAGAATAATGAAAAAAAAGGTTGCTGCTCCATCCCAAACCTGTCAGTCGATGTAGCAGCACTCCGCTGCGAGTCAGGCTATTTGTCAGTCGATGTATGTACTGAAGCCCCCAACAGCAGACTATTTCAGTGTGACGTCAGAGTGCTCATCTTTTTTTCTTTTTTTTTTTTTGTTCTTGATCATAAATATAAACTGATTCGTTTATAATGTATAAAATAATATAATAGGATATTTCTTCAGTACAAATAATAAATTTAGCACAAATAATAAATATAAAAAGTAACACTATTAAAAAAACGCGGGAAACTTGCAGAAGACCGGGTGGTCTTGTCATCAAGAAACCGCTTTTAGTTGTGATATTTTTGTATACTTAATTTATTAAAAAATTTCAGTTTAACAAAGTCTCATGGTGGCATTAGAGTCACATATAAAAGCTATAAGATAATCAAAAGAGCTGAATTTGATACACATAAATATATGATTACATTGTTATATTTAATATATTGACTGACATGTACGAATTATAAATAAAATCTAACATATACTTTGCTTTGAAGTTAAATTTATTGGTTGTTTTTTTTAGTTATTAGTTTTAATATGCGTTTGTAAAATTGTTTATGCCTAGAACAAGTTTTTTTAAATAATATTTTCAGAAAATTACGGTAATGTAATTTTGTAATTGTAGTGTTTTTAGATATAAGTTTGTTGTAGAAATAAGAGCCGTGATAATAAGTTTGTTGTAGAAGTAAGGGCCGCGAAATAAAGAAACATGATAGTTTTGTTTTTTTAATTGGTAGATTAAAATTCACAACTTCTTGAGTATCATCTTTTTCTACTGCATTTAAAAAACTCTTCTGAAAAATGTAGTGGGAGAAGTCCAAGTTTATGTTGAACATGAACAACAAGCATGTTTTTGCAGCATGTTTTTGATGTCGATAGAGTGCCACTAGGTTAGATCTATGGGCATTTGCCCATAGATCTATGGGTAAATGCCTATGCTATATTTCCATACGTATAATAGGTTTGAATAAAAAGGAAATAAAGTTGCTTTAGTTTTTTTTGGAGTAATGTTGGCCTAGCTTTGTAAATCATACAAATGTTGCTTCTTATTTTTGTATTTAAAAAGTTTATGTAGGCTTTCCATGAAATATTCTCATCGATAAGTATCCCTAACAATTTTGTTGCTTTGGTTCTTTTCGATTATTTTATTTTCTATTTTTAGAAATGGTAACATATTTGGTAAAGATTTTTTTCTTTGATGGAATGGAATAGAATGTAGATAGTTTTTTCTGAATTCAATGATAATTTGTTAGATTTTAACCAAGTATTAAGTTTTTCAAGTTCAATACTTGCAGTTTCAAATAGTTCTGTAACAGAAGTAGATGAATAAAATAAATTAGTATCATCTGCAAACATTATGGCATCGAGCTTGTTTGAGACTTTTGAAAGATCATTAATTTATAGATCATTAAATTAAATAAGAGTAAGGAAGCTAAAATGGAACCTTGAGGAACTTCGCATTTAATTTTAAGCAATTTTGAATGGATATTTTATCCGTAATAACAGATTGCTGTCTGTTTATAAAAAAACTCTCAAACCGTTGTAAAGCTACATTTTTAATGCCTTTTTTTCCGATCTATAGCATGATCAACAGTACCGAATGCTTTTAATAGGTCAATAAAGATTCCTAGAACAAATTTGTTATTATCAAAAGAGTCATTTATTTTATTTACAAGATCTAATATCGCATGTTCGGTTGAATGTTGCTTTTGAAATCCGAATTGTTTTTTGTTCAAGATATTGTTATTAGTTAGGTATTTATATAGTTTATTGTCAACTATTCGTTCTAGAAGTTTAGAAAAGACTGGAATGATTGAGATGGGTCTGTAGTTATATTAGTGAAAAAGGCTCTACGGCTTTAAATATTGGTACGACTTTTGCAATTTTTAATTTGTCAGGAACAGTTCCTGTTGTAATTGAAAATTTGAAAATTTTGAATATGGGTTTACGTATCACCGGGAAGACACTTATTACTAAATTGCTACAAATCTCATCGATCCCTGGTGCTTTGTTAATCTTTAGAGTTTTTTGCACCATCGAGTTCATCATAACTTAGACAATTGAATTTTAGTTCGTTATGTTAGGTCTGTAATATAGGTTTCAAAATAGGTTTTTGGGCATTGAATTTTGGACACCATGTTAGGGCCGATGTTTGCAAAGAAACTGTTGAAATGTTCGGCAATAGAGTTTTTATCGTAGTATTCTTCTGTATTTCATTCGCAACAATTCTATCAGGTAAGATATTTGTAATGGTATTTTTTGTCCTGATTATTTCTTTCATGATGTTCCATGATTTTTTAATATCACCATTGGCATTTTGAAGTAGTTTTGAATAGTATATTTTTTTAAAGTTTTTTCTTATTTTTTCAAAAAGATTTTTATATTGCTTGTAGATACACTCTAAAAACAGTCCGTTAAAAAAAGTAACGGATTGCGCTTTTTCGTTAAATTAACGGATTAATTCGTTACCAAAAACCAGAAAATTAACAGAGTAAAATTAACTATTTACGGATTCTTTGAAATTTCGTTAATTCAACGGATTAAATATTCTAATCGGTTAAAAAAAAATTTTTCAGAATATTATAGCTTTTTATTTTGAAAATGATAAAGTTTTGAATGTGTTTTTCTCACATTTACATTTACATCGTAGATAAAAGTTGGTTGCAGTAAGTGTAATATGCCATTTTTTAAAAAGCTTTACATTTAGTAGACACAGCAAATGGATAAATATAATTTAAATTAGGCTCTGTTATTTGTAATTTCGAAGGTTATTTAGATTATTTTAAATTTTCTATATAAAGCTTTATATAGAAAATTTAACAATAATGTTTATTTTGTTTTAAATTAAAAGCCATTTGTATTACTAAATAATATATAATAACATATATGGTAAGTTAATACATACTATATATGGTAAGTTACTACATGTCTAAATCTAGAAAATTATCCAAGAATATATGCAATCCATATAGTCTATATTATAGAAATAAAAGTTCAACTAATCCTTTACTAGTAGTAAAGGGTTAGTTGAACAATTATTTCTATAATATAGACTAAATGGATTATTTATAGTCTTTTTTAACTTTATATTTTAGACATATGACATGTAGTAACATACCATATTAGTTTAAATCAGTTGTAAAATTAAAAATGTTAACATCTTTGATAGGTATATTTATTTAGGTTAGTTATAGCTAAGTTTACATGGCTAATTAATATGCTTTTATAAATTGCAATTTTTATTAATTTCCAAATTAAACATGTGTCATCCAATATCATAAACGAAGTTTATACTGGTGTGTTTATATTATTTTAGAATTTTTTGTTTTAGACACATGGCATTTGCTATCCCACTGTAAGTTAAAACTAGTTGTAAAATTAAAAAATTTATATAAGAACTTCTATTTCTTTTTACATTCATGTTTATTTAATTGAGTTACAACTAAGATAATATATGAGCTATTTATACTATCTTAGAATTTGCTGCTTTAGAGGCACGTCATTTAATGTCACATTGTAGGTTTAAATTGGTTGTAGAATTTATATTGTAACTTGTATATTTATTTAGTTGAGTTTAATCTAAGTTTATATTTGATGTGTTTGTATTATTTTAAAATTTACTGTTTTAGACACGTGGCATGTGGTATCACACTGTAAGTTTGAATTAGTAAATTTAAAAAAAATTATATTTTAACTTGCATTTCTTTTGACGTTCATATTTATATAATTAGATTACAACTAAGTTTGTGTATGGCTTGTTTATATTATTTCAGAATTTGCTATTTTAGACACTTGGTATAAGCTGTCATACTGTAAGTTTAAATTGGTTGTAAAATTTATATTGTAACTTGCATTTCTATTGGCGTGCATATTTATTTAGTTGAGTTTCAACTAATAATAATAATAATAATAATAATAATAATAATAATAATAATAATAATAATAAGTTTATGTCTGGCGTGCTTATATTATTTTAGAATTTGCTGTTTTAGACACGTGGCTTGTGATATCTCACTGTAAGTTTGAATTAGTAAATTTAAAAAAATTGTATTTTAACTTGCATTTCTTTTGGCATGCATATTTAATTAGTTTAATTAAGACTAAATTTATATCACACTTTTTTAACTATTATTTTACTATATTCTATATTTACTATTATTTTAGAATTAGCTATTTTAAACATGTGACAAGTGTTATGACACTGTAAGTTTAAATAAGTTGTAAAATTAATTTTTTTATATAGTTGCTTGCGTTTTTTTTGGTCTGCATATTTAATCTTGTTTTGATTTATCATAGTTTTTAAAAGGTTTTTAGAGACCTTATTTTTTGCTCCTGATAGATGTTGATGTACGTAAATCGTATAGAGTCTTTCAGTTATCAGATAATGTCAAGGTAATCTTAAACTTTTTTTTAATTTACATTTTAATAAAGATATAATTTACTTGTTCCATTTAACTTTATCTTTAGAAAACGATATCAGAGATAATTAAAATAACAAAATTTAGAATAGAAATTTTTATATAATGAATTACCAAAAACATTTTCTATAGTGTTATCAGTAACATTTTATTTTGGTTTTATACTAGGTATGTTATTAAGTTTCCATATTTTCCTTATTATTTTTTATATTAATCTTTAAAGAATTGACAGCATGGTATCCGATTTAAAGTGCGAACCTGTGTACGAGTAACAACAGTATTCAAAACCAAAACCTATTTAAACCAACCAAACCAAAACTAGCAACCAAAAACTAATATCTTGGCATTGGTTTATTTTTAACATCTATTATATATATGTGTGTGTTTTATATAAATGTACTAGCTTGAGTATAGAGTATTAAAAATATTTTTTTTAACTATTTTTATTGTAATTTAAAGTATTTTGGATTAAATATAAATATTTGATTAGTTTTCAATTTTTGGTTAAAAACGTTTTAATGTAGAATATCGAAATATAATAATGCATTTAAATAAAAATGCAAACATTAACAAATATAAGGATTATTTGGTTATGAAGTCACAATTCTGGCCTCTCTAATTTTAGATTTTCGTGATTTTAACGAAATAATCACTAAAATAACTTATTAACACATTTATTTCATAGGAATAACAACCGCGGAAAATTTGCTGCCTAGATTAATTTTAACGGATTATTCGTTGCACTAACGAAATAAATCCGTAAATTCAACGGACTATTCCTAACGGAGTTCAATTCGTTAAAATTTTTAATTCGTTAACTTAACGGATTTCCCGTTAGTGCAATAGCGACAGATACAATTCGTTGTATATAACGGATTTTTTTTTAGAGTTTAGTTAAGTTAACTTCATTTCTGTTTTTTTAAATATTTTATGTAGAGTTTTTGTTTTGTTTTAGTAGATTTTTTAATTACACTAGTAATCCATAGACATTTCAATTTTTTTTCTTTTACTATTTTTTTTCTTTGATCGGGAAATGATTATCATAAATTTTGTGGAAAATATCTATAAATGTGTTATATGCGGAGTTTGTGTCCTCAAGGCTGCATTCTTTATATACTTCATCCCAATCTACTACTGATAGTGTGTCTTTAAATTTTTGAATAGAAATTTTATTAATTTATCTTTTATGAATTTTGGTTTTAGAATTGTTATCTATTCTTGTATCTTGATTTATTGAAAAGTAAATTGGAAAGTGATCCGAAATACCAGTTTTAATTATACCTGTTTTTAAAGAGGAGTCTAAAAATGTGTTCGTCAGGATGTTATCTAAAACGACAATTGAATTTGAGGTTATTCAAGTAGGTTTGTTGCATGGGCTGCTTAAATTACTATAAATTAAGTAGACCATGGTTTGCTGATAATCGGAAAGATGCACTGTTGGAACGCGTTGTTAAAAAAAATTTAGTGGTCGCATTATTTAACATTTTAAACAATCTATATTTAAAAATAATAAGATTTTATATTATCAGAAGATAATAATTTATAGTTTGGAATTTGAAAGTTAGAATTTTTTTGAATTAATTCATCAGAGCACCAAGTTTCTGTCAGGCAAATCGTACTAAATGAGTAATTGCCATTGATTAAGAAATATTTTAGTTTATCAAAAATTTTATTTATATTTTTTATATTTATGTGTATTGCCATTATGGCAATACACATAAATATAAGGGCCGGCGCGAGGGGGTGGTGGGGGGTGCCATTACAACTTTTGCCGACTAAAAAAAAAAAAAAAGGTCCTCGTTTTCCAAAATTTGCCGACTGCCATTACGACATTTGCCGACTGTCTAACCTATATCAAAAGGGTCGACATTTGCCGACTAACTAGTCTAAAAAGGTCCGATTTGCCGACTAAGGGTCCAGTTTGCTGACTAAAAATCATTGATGAGGGGTGTCACACTTCCCACACCCCCCTATCGCGCCGGCCTTGTTGCCATAAAAATTTTTTTAAAAGTTTTGAGTTCAGTTTTAAATTTTTTCGTGATGAAATAAGGCGAATCAAAATTATTTATTTGAAAGACTTACGTCACAAAAATTATTGAGTATATTACGTGCAGTTTCGAAGACATTAAAGCGCAGCGATTCAAAATCTATTGGTTCATAAGTCATTAAGTTAAAAAGCAAATATTAAAAACGCGTTCGTTCAAAATAAAAAAGATTAAATCAAAACTCTTGCTACTTTTTGAAATCTCGACTAAATTATCATATTTTAAAATAGCATATTTACCTTCGCTGCGTAGTTTTTTTACTTCTTCCCAAAGCTTTCTTCGGTTTTCAGTTGTTTCTGGAGCGAAGTCTTCATTAATGTATAGGCCGGTTCCTCTGAGATGCTTTACTACATTGAAAATTTTGCTACGTTGAAATTTTACTGCGTAGAGAATTTTACTGCGTTGAGAATTAAACCACTTTTTTATAAATATCTCTATATAACAATGATTAGGCGGGACAGTATTTTTAATTTAACGTATACCATCCCGTTACTTTTTTTTCTCCACTTCGAGCACTGCATAACGTAGCCGGTAAAATGTGAACTGCGAATCGGTAAAATGTGAACCTTTTTGCTAATCAAAACATATTTTAATGAGCACTACAGTTATGATATTTAAAAAAAATACTTGCATGTCAATTTTTTAATTTAAATTAAGTATAATGTAATTTGATATATTTTATTTAAATATGATTGTATTTCTTTTAAATTAAATAAAATTTGTGTTTCAGCTTGAAGTCCATAAAATATATAGCAAATTTATGGCAAACGGAAAAGGAAACACTTTACATCATTAACAACCAATAGAACTATGGTTCGCAAAAAAGTTCGCATTTTACTAGTTCGCAGTTCGCTGTTCGCATTTTACCGACTATCACCGGCTATTAAGACGTCGTAAAATATTAACAATTTTAAAATTATAATCATACAGCTATAAATTGATCAAAGCTGTCACCGAATTTGATTGTAAATTTGCTGTTTAATGTAATCGATTGAAATTATCGTGTCACTCTTGCTCCAAGTGACATTATTATATATTTTGTGACATTGATTTAAATACAATTGAGATTAACTGCTAAGGTTAATTGAGATTAACTGCTGAACTATATAAATTTGTTAAAAGTATTAAACTTGCGTTCGTGGTATATATTTTAAAAGATTCGCCACAGAATGATGAAATAGTCCCACAGTCCAGGGCCGTCCCGAAGGAAGGGGTGTCGGGGTGTCCCCCCCTCCCCAAAGCTGTCAAATAAGCATTTGAGTTGGCACATTGAGCAAGTTTTGCTCAATGTGAAATGCTTTTTGAGTTGATATAATAAATATAGTTGGCAAAATGCCAACTGAAATGCTTTTTGAGTTGGCATTTTGCCAACTATATTTATTAATATAGTTGACATTTTATCAACTATATTTATATTAAAGTTATAGTTGGCAAAATTAAATATAGTTTGCTATATTTATAGTTGGCAAATTGCAAGTATTGAGGATCTTTTTTCTTTCTTTTTTTTTTTTTTTTTGTGTGTCCTTAGTTGGCAAAAAAATACTTACACCCCCCACCCCATGGAAGACCTCTTCTGTGGCCCTGCCACAGTCCAGAGTTAAAAAAAATATACATGGCCGACGACACCGGAGGTCAAGGGGGCGCGTGCCCCCCCCCCAACCACTTTTTTTCTAAAGAACCTTTTTTTTTAGAAAAATCTTGATATAGAGGACTTTTTTTACAAATTGATGATTGTGCACCCCCCCCCTTCTCCACTTCAAAACCCGTATCGTCGGCCCTGATATATTATGTACAATATTTTTGCTTTCTAAACAATATTTGATATTAATATTTATTATTATATAAACAGTTTTATAAAATCATTGACATGTATTGGGGATAGTAATATGATAAACTTATTAAAAGTATTTTGAAAATGTAATAAATCAATAGTTTTTTTGTATTCAAAAAAATGTCTTTTTGAATACATTTTTTATAATCGCGTTTCTTATCATTAAATGCTCACCATCGCAGAGTGAGCCGCATAGGTGGACAAAACTAAAAAAATCCACGTCTGAAAACTTAATTTTTTAAAAAAACTTTTTAATTAGATATATTGGGGACCTAAAAAATATTTGAATTAAATTTTTCAAAGAATATATTCTCAACAAAAAATCATTTCAAGTAATATTTTTGCAAAAAAAAAAAAAAAAGTGATAAAGTGAGAAAATATAGTTTTTTACTAAGCAAAAGTGTAGAATAATTTTTTGGTATATTGATTAAATGTTTTTATTAACTTATCAAATAATTGTTAATAAATAAAATTTATAGAAAAAAAAAATTAAAAAAAATTTTAAAACAGTTTTGGATATGATTTTTAGTAGCAAATGCCTTTTTTTATATATTTTTTTGAAAGGACAACAAGGAAAAATTTGTGCTGTATTTTGCCTTTATCTCTTATACATACTTTGAAGGCTATATATATGCTTTCATAACACTATTTTTCTAGCTGCAAGTATCTGCTACTTTTTTTAATACTTGCTGTAAAATGAAAGATGTTTATTCATGCTTTGAAATAACAAATATATAAATTTAAATAAAAGAATTGATTATCCTTTAAATAAAAGAATTGATGGAAATTTTATGTAACCTAAATCCTAACTCCAACCAACGAAAAAGACTATTAAATCATCAAAAAATTAGGATAATAAAATAAAATTTATAGATAGTGGTAGGCCTGTGAAATCATTTGAGAATTCATCAAATAAGACAAAGAGCCGCAAGTAGCAGCTATCAACTTATTAACTAGTTCTTCAAATGAACTTTAATAAGCTAGTAGTTGTAATCTTTTTAAAGATGGCAGAAGATAGAATGAAAAAGTAGTTCAAATTTTATCTGTAAAGCAACCTTCTGATTCAGAATATTCTCAAAACACTCTGAAAAAAGCTTAAGCACTTATATTAGATAATAACATGAGCAAATCTGATTACCAATACTTGAGAAATAATGCTGTGAGTAAAGGTTGTAATCTCTATCCTACATCCAATAATGTTTGTACTGCTAAAGAACAATGTCTTTCTAAACAAACATTATGGACTGTTAATAATTTTTTGGAGAAATAAACTTTCAAGCATTAGTCGATCATACTGCAATATGCCTAATACAGTTGCAGAAACAAGTTATCTATTCCACGAATGATATTGAAAGACTAACATTACATTCTAAAGTTCGTTTTGATGGATCAATTAGCCAAAGAATTTATACTCAGGTAAAAGTTAAGAAAGCTTTGAAATAAATAAATAAACAAGCTTTTTCTTTTAGAAGAAGCTTGTTTATTTACTTCAAAGTTGCTACAGCATTATTTAAATTGGTCTACACAAGGACTCCATTTAAAAAGAAAATTATCCAAGGACGAAAACAGAAAATTTAAATAAGGTTTTGTGATAATGTTGGACTGGTAATTGAAATGGCAATGTCTGGTGGCTCTGGGTTATTAAGTAATGGAAATACTGTAAGAAGATTTTTTTAGAATGCAGAAAAGTTAGCTCAAATTTATGAACTTGATGTCAGTATGATAAAGATGTTACATATTATTTTGTGTACAAAGCACATCCATCACTCCAGAAATTAAATTAAGTCGATTAGAAAGCTAGATGAAAATCATCTAGCTTTCTAATTGACTCTTCACTATTTAGAGAATACTGCTACAAATCAGTTGAAAAGTATGTAAATTTATATCCCTGGTATCATATGTCACAGTGTTTGCATTGCATTCTTATCTACGGTTAGCAAGTTTATAGAGATAATGGCTTTAGCCCTAATTGTATGAAATCTTGTTGAATTTTATTTGGTTGTTAAGGAAGATTTTAAGTTTTTGAATTATGCAAAAGTTTCATTAAAAAAGTTAAATAAATGGTTTCTTAGAGCCCAAAACTGCATAGCAACACCAAAAGTAATAATTTTTTGTTTGTGTTATCATTCAAATACATAAAATAGTATTGCAGCATTAATACCAGTTTAGTTTATAAATTTGATGTTTTAAGAAAGTCTATTTACTTAGATAACTATGCAAAGTACACTGTTGCTATGGAATATAGGTACCCATAGCAACTAAATAAACAATCTAATGGTAATATTAAAGTTTTAGTATGAAATGTAATCAACCTGGTAATTATGGGGAAAATCTGATTATTATTTTAAAAGTTATTTACTTTTGTCCAGCTAGTAATAATTTTGACCCACTGTGCATGCAGGTTTGCAGGTTTTATTGATTAGCATGTTTAAAATACATCATGATAAAATGCAAGCATTAAAAAAGATAGTTATTATGTTACTCAATCAAGCAATTTAAAAAGTTAGTATTATGTCAATCGGTATTAATTGTCTTGTTGTATTTTTACCCTTATTGCTAAAATCTAATACTCGCTTTATATTATTTATGTTTTAGATGGTACGCAAGTATCTCCCAAAAAAATTAAATCCTATAGTGTTCAAGCTATTAAAGATGGCCGTAAAGTACTAACGGCAGCAAAAACGTTTGGATTACCGAGATCAAATCTAAAAGACAAAATAAATGGGCGTCAATAATCAAGCTCTGTGGGAGAAAAAACAGTGTTTACAAAGCAACAGAACCAAGCACTGGTAAACAGGCTTTTTTACTTGGCAGATCGTGGACTTCCATTGACAACAAAGCGGTTGAGTTATAATGCATATTTATACGCCAAAAAATTACATTGTTGTCGATTACTTCAAAAAAAGTTGCCTACTGCATGGCTTAAATCTTACTTAGTATCACATAACTGGTTTCTTTGGTTTCTGGCCTGTAAGCGTAGATATCCTCAGTTGACTTTTCGCGCTCCGGATTGTCTATAGTACGGGCGGAAGCTTTTAATAAAGAACGAATAAAGAAATTTTTTAAAGATAGCGAAATAATTGCTCTTGATATTTATATTAAAAATCAAGCAGTACTTATTTATTATGGAACTGTACCAGATAAATTAAAAGTTGCTAAAATTATATCTATTTTTAAAACCGGTGAAACATTTCTAATAAACAATTACAGACCAATCTCAATACTTCCAACCTTTTCTAAAATACTTGAACGAATAATCTACAATAGATTATATGAATACCTAATTCAAAACAAATTCTTAAATAAAAAACAATTCGGCTTTCAAGCACAGCACTCAACAGAACATGCAATTTTAGATTTAGTTAATAGCATAAGTGATTCTTTTAATAAAAAGCAATTTGTATTAGGAACTTTTATAGACCTTTCTAAAGCATTTGACACAATTAATCATGATATCTTACTAAAAAAATTGGAAATATACGGAATAAAGAATACTAGCTTACATTGGTTTAAAAGTTATCTGTGCAACAGACAACAATGTTTTATTTCAAACGATAATAAATATTCTAATTTCCTAAAAATAAAATGCGGAGTTCACCAAGGTTCCATTCTTGGTTCTCTTTTATTTTTAATCTATATTAACGATCTTCCACAATCACTAAAAAAACTCGATACAATAATGTTTGCTTATGATACGAATTTATTTTATTCATCACCATCAATTGAAAATCTCTTTGAATCTGCAAACGATGACCTTGAGAGTCTAAACATTTGGTTTAAAGTAAATAAATTATCAATAAATACAGAAAAAACAAAATACATCTTGTTTCATTCAAATCAGCAAAAAAATAAAATACCAAGCATTCTACCATTATTAAAAATTAATAACATAAACATTGAAAGAACTGAAACTATTAAATTTCTTGGGATAATTATCGACGAAACGATTTCTTGGAAAGCCCATATAAAAACACTAAATACAAAAATATCAAAAAGTATCGGTATACTTTACAAAGTTAAACCTATACTTTCCCAGGAGAATCTAAAAATCCTCTATTTTTCTTATATACAAAGTTACCTAACCTATGCTAATATTGCCTTGGGAAGTACAAATAAATTTAAATTAAGTTCTCTATATATACACCAAAAACACGCATTAAGAATAATTTATAATAAAAATAAATTCACTCATGCCGATCCTTTACTTAAAAACTTGAATGCTTTAAATATCTATCAAATTAACATCTACCAAAATATTTTATTTATGCTCAAATATAAGCTCGGACTTGTCCCAACTCATTTTACTAATAACTTTTTTCAAACCAACGCCAACAGATATATCACACGAGGAACCGGAAACTTTACGTTGCCCATAAAAAAAACAAATTTTTCGAGATTTTCAATTGTGTACCGTGGCCCCTATTTATACAACAAAGTAATACCTCAAAAGAACTTACTAAACTGAATAATCTTATCACCCTTAAGAAAAAACTAAAAGATCTCATAATTAACAAATCCAATTTTATCGATATGTATTAAATATAAAAGAACAATTTAAATAATAAAATGTAAAAAGAAAAATTCAAGCTATAAAAATAAAAAAAATAAAAAAAATAAAAAAATAAATAAAAACTAAATTAAAAAAAGTATATAATAAATACATATAGTTAGCAACTATACATAGTCAAATATTAATGAACAGACGACTTTAAAAAGTTAATGTGTGTTTTATAGATTTACTCTTCAAACTTTTAGTCTATTTTGTATTTTAAAGGTTCTCGATGAAAAGACTTTTCTTAGTCTTCTGCGAGTTTCCTTACAACTACATAGTACTATTAATATATATTAATATATAGTTTCAACGACAAAGACAAGCAAGTCCCTAGTAGCCCTGTGGTGCGACGGACTTGCGTATATTTTTTAAATGCCAGTTAATAGCCAGCACTTTATATTATAAACTACGAATTTTTAAGTTTATTATTTTAACTCGATCTCAAACGCGCATGCGTAAAACAGTTAATGCTCTCTATATATTGTAAATATTTGTGAGGGATATTTATATAAACTGGAGACATGTAAATGTTATTTGTTTTTGAAATATATAATAATGATTGTTGTAAAAAAAAAAAAAAAAAAATTATTGAGATGAAATTAATTTGTCGTTGTTACGATTTACTTCTGCTAAGATTTTTTTGAAAAAAAAAAATTCAAATTCTGTATACTCAATAACATTGAAGTAGTATGTTTACCTACACAAAGCAGTCATCGTTTGCAACCACTGGACACACACTATAATAAGGTAAAAAAACAAAAGTTAATAAAGTAAAAGTGGCGAAATTGCCCCGGTCTACCCTATATATTTATTTAAATTAAGTTTGAGGTATAAACTTACATTTGCGTACTAAACTTTTATTTATATATGGTATATGAAATATAATAGTGCAATTTATTAATAACAATAACATAAGAAAATATGTTGTTATTGTAAATAATATGTTGTCATTCTAAATATTAACATAAATATGTTGTTATTGTAAATAATAAGATTGTTGTTATTACAAATAATGAGTTTGTGAACGCAACGTAATGTTGTCCATAAACTACGTTAAGAAGTTTTTGAAAATTTTAAGCTCCCCCCACCAACCTTTAACAGATCGAGCGGCTATGGTTGTTTGACTGACTAATATAACCGTAGGCATAGCGCCCGTAACAAACCTGCACAAATAATTATGCCATAGTCACAGCTATTTAATTATTGTAAAATAAAATTGGGGGAGGAATAGGGTTAGTAATTTTATTTGTTTTTTTTTTAATGTTGTTATTAGTTGTTTATGTTGTTATTGTTTGTTGAAATTGATTTTGTTGTTTGTTGTTGTTATTGTTGTTGTTGTAAACTATTTTATACTAAAAAATAGGATTTAGCTGTCGTTGAATTCGATGGAACTGAGCGTATTCCGTAAGCCCATGTACAGTTAGCCATGCTTGCTCGTGCTCAATTGCACGGAAGATGTTGCGCTGTGGTAATTATAATTTTTGTTGATCAAACTTTGCTTTGAAGCAGTCAACAATGATAGCACTGACATCTTTGTTAGGTAGCGCGTTTCATGGGTGAACAACGCCGCTGTTGAAGAAGTTGAAGTAAATGAGATATTTGTTGGCGATTTCACAATAAAAGTGCTACTTTTTCAAGTAGTATTTAACTGTTGAAGTAAAGAAGAGAATCACAGTGTTGCGTTTTTTAGATAAATAGGCCGCCTTGGTTCTACCAAGGCCCGGCCAGTTATAATGTATTTGAGTTTTTGCACCAAGCTTAAAGTAATCGAAAAGTCTACTTTAAACGTAGTAAGAAAAAAACAACTTTGTTTCTTAAATCCTTGGTGGAAATGTTGAACTTTCAATTCAATGCGTTGGTGAAACTTGCTAAAGTGATGCTTTTGGTTTACCGTTGAGATAAGTATTGATTTTGATTAAATAAGTACTTGGTTAAATAAGTTGATTGATAAATAATGAGTTTTAATTTGTTTTGTAGTTGATAATCTAATGTTAAATAAGGTGGTTTAAAAAGGATTATGAAAAATTTATACACTTTTTTTTTTAAATTGGTCGCGCGATTGCCTCAGAAGCAGGAGGCACGGGTTCAATTTGGAATGAGGTGCCCTTTGATAAGGTTGTAAGAACTTGTTTGGGCACCATAAAAAAATCTTAAAAATATTATAATTTTTGTTTTAAATTGTTATTTTTGCGATTGCCAAACATGCTAAAATTTTGTTTACAACGGAGTGTTCGTTGGGAATTGATGTAACGGTCTATTGCAAACTTATTTTAATGTATTGAATAGAACTGCTGAAAATTAAAGTAGTTTAAACAATATCTTCAACAATAAAAAAAAAGCACCATAATAGTTTTTAAACGAAAGAAAACAAATACACAAGAAGTAGTGACTGTTGCAAACACTCCAACGTCGGAACAGTAAGTAAAAACAACTAATTTGAATTCTTTTATCTAATTATACTATTAAAAAATTGTGTTTTTTGAGTAAAACTTCCAATTTGTATAAATACGGAAATATAGAATTGTAACCTATGTTTATAAACTAATTATAAATTACAAAAATATTTTTGGCGCTTCTGAAAAATGAGTTGAAAGAAGTTTTCCGCTGCTCAAAACCGTGCTAAAGCTACTAAAATAACAGCAGAAGAAGCAAAAAATAAACAGACTATAGAAGATATGGGATTTATTACATTAACACAGACCAAAGATTATGCCTCTTCTCAGAACACTCAATTAAGCCCTCCATTAAGTTAATTGTTTGTTGTATCGTTTTTTGTTTTCTTCTGACTACGTTTGCCATTATAATCTTTGTTATTGTTACTAACTTTTTTCCTTAAGGATCCCTATAATAATGACCAGACTACCAGTAAGTCTGTGAGGGCTAAGAGGAACCAATAAGCTCTCCTTCTTTTTCAATATACCTGCTGCACTCAATATGTGTAGTTTGAAGGACTGTGGATTAGAGAGGGCCTCAAACAATTTACATGAAGTCAAGATTAATGAATTTCAACGTGATTTTTTTTAAGTAGAGTTAAATGGAGGAACTTTATCAAAAAGGGAAAAATGTGATGCTCAACCTGAATTTTTAATAGTTAATGCTGAACTCTTTTTTTGGTCAGTTGTTTTGAGTCAAAAATTTCAAGTCTTAATAAGACAAAACTATTTAGAAGCTTTGTACGTTTCCTGTGGTGCTAATTTTCTAAATTTGGCTGGTGTGCACGTAGTTAAATCAAACATTAAGATCAAAGTATTAATTTAAAATGTCAAATCTTTGTACCTATTTTTTAGTGCAAGTTTTGCCCGATGGAAGATCCTCACTGAAGCGGCAGGAATTTCACTGCATAGACTTTCAATGACAAAATGAAGCTGAGGCCGAGAGAAATGTCGGCAGCTCTTAAACATGCCATGGAAAACTTGAATCTGACCAGTGAGAATCTTTTTTTTCTTTTTTTCTTTGTTAATTCACCTCCTCAAGACCGAGAAGATTTCAGACGAGGAGGCTACTTATTTGTGGTTATAACCCTCTCTCCTTGGACTGCTGCGCGGAGAAACAAGTTGAGCGCGGTACTACCAGGGACGCTAGTAGGATTTTAAGGCTCAGCCAAACAAGAGTCTTAAAAAATGTTTATTTTATTTTGACTTTTTATGGATAGTTATGTTTTGGTACAAAACATAATTATCTATACAAAGATTACATAAAAAATAAAAAAATAAAAAATAAAACTTTTCAAGTATTATACTTTCTGAAACAATAAAAAATAAATTGAGATTTTGTAATGACATTAATGAGTTATCTTTAACAACAATTTAAACCTATATGCTCCATTGAAAACTAAAATCTTAAGAGGTAACGATAAGCCATTTATGACTAAGAATTTTAGAAAAGCAATTATGCTTCGCTCAAAATTAAAAAAAAAAATTCCAGATTGAAAAATCAGACATTTCTTTGTCTCTTTATAGGAAACAAAGAAACTACGTAGTGAACTTGAATAAAAAAGTAAAGAAAATATATTTTAGTGAGATAAATTTATTCAAGTCTTCCACTACATCTCTATGGAAGATATGCAAGTCTTTTCTTTCTAATAAATCTGATAATTCGAACGATTCATGACGTTGATTGAACATGGGGAAACTATTTCGGAAAACTTTCAAATTTCAAACATTTTCAACTTATATTTCACAAATGTTGCATCATCTCCTATAAGTAATGAGATGAGTTATCGTCCTTCTCCTTGCAATGTACATGTGTCTGTTGAATCTGCTATCATAAGATATGCAAACCATCCCAGTATTATAAACATTAAAAACAAATCCAAATTTTATCCTCAAAAAATAAATTTCAGCAAATTACTCCTGATGATATCACAAAAATTATTTATTCTTTAAATAGTAAAAAGAAGACTAGATATTCCAACGTTTATGTTAAAAACTTATGTCATGAGATTTAAAGAAAGCCTCACTTCTTGTATAAATAACTGCATATTCCAAGGCGAATTCCCGTCCTTTTTAAAAATGGCCGATGTCATACCACGTTTTAAAAAAATGACCCTACTGATAAGTGTAACTTCCGCCCAATAAGTATTCTGCCAGTTCTCTTAAAAGTGTTTGAAATCGTTATTTACGAGCAAATACGGGGTTTTATAAAGCTAAGTCTTAACAAGTTGCTGTGTGGATTTCGGAGAGGGTATAGCGCACAGGACACGCACTTTTTAATTTAGTTAATAAGTGGCAAGAATGCTTGGATAAAGGAGGTATAGTTGGAGCTATACCAATGAAATCAAACGTGATTTCATGGTTTACTTAGAATAAAATGGTAGGAAATCCGGACAAATTTCAATTTTATTTAGCTGGCTTAAAAAATTGTAAAGATCAATTTTTAATGATTGGAAATGTAAAAATCATGGTTTCCTCTAAGGTTAAAATTCTCGGGGTTACAATTGATAAAGATTTGAAATTTGATGACTATATTAAAAGTCTGTGTGGAAAAGCGTAAATGCTTAAAACTTGTTGTATTTATTGACACATATTATTTACTATGTAAGCTATTTTTATTTTATTTTATTTATTTTTTATTCACGATATGTATGTTTGTTTGTATTGTCTTATACAGTTTAGTGTGTTGATTTTAATTAGTTTTTGTTGATTATAAAACTATTGTAAACAATCAACTGAAAATAAAGTTTTAAATAAATAAAATAAATAGGCTACAGTTCCGCCTTTACTTTTTAAGACACTATTCCGATTTTAATATTTGCGACACTATTCCATTTTTACTATTTGCGACACTATTCCATGTTTACTATTTGTTTTAGGGATCGTTCATAAAGTATATACACTTTTTTTTCGTCAACCACCCCACACCCCACCACATTTTGCATTACGCTTTTTTGAATACCCTCCACCTCCCTAAAAGTAGCTAGGCTTTTAACCTATTTATCTATCATTTTATGATAATTTTTTTTAATTTAGTGTCTCCTTTCTTTTATAATTAGCCCACTGCCCTCCCATCTCATATACGCCGTTTGCAGACCCCTCAATGCGAATATTCGCATGAGATTCAGATGCGAATATTCGCATCTGTATAAAGTTGTTTAATATCATTATAAGAAACTTTAAAGTAATTATTTGGTTTGAGAAAAAGAACCGTACTTTGTTTTTATAAATAAATGCAAGAATTACACATGTCTCAGTTGTCCAACCTTTTTTGAATGATAGAATAGTTAAAAACCAAGTCAGTATAAAATTCTTAGGAATTGTTATTGATAGTAAAATATATTTTGTCAAAAATTACCAAAACTATATATAGCCTGATGTATCGAGTTCGCTCATACATTAACAAGCAAAGTCTCAAACTGATATATTTTAGCCTAATTTACAGTTTCATCAACTACGCCAATATAAAATAGGCGAGTACGCCAAAACAAAACTTGCATAAAAGTACAGAATCTTATTCTCTAAACAGAAACGGAATCTAACTTATATGTTTAAATTTTACAACAACCTCTTGCCAAAAAAATTTTTACAACATGTTGGAAATAAATTTAAATGAAAAATATAATTTAAAATCTAAAGTAAACATCACTTATAAATTGCCTCGGAAGTGTCACCAACTCTCAAAGTATTGTATAGCATATCAAGAAATATATATCAAGAACCTAAAATATAGAACAAGAATATAAATATATGCTGAAGTCTTTAAGTTAATTAAAATTAATTAGGTTTTTAAAAAAAAAGAAATTTTAGTCTGATAATATTTTAGAAATTTTTTACTTTTACGAAAATTACTTTTACACAAAGTTTTAATAAAAGTTATTCTTATATACAAAAGACTCTGAAATCTTATAAATAAAATAATTTTTTTTTATCATGGAAAAGGAGGGTAATAAACTTAGAGGGTTAATAGGAGCAATTTTAGCAAAGTCTAAACCCATAAATTTTTAAGGAAAACTAAACAAATCTTGACGCAAAATAAGCGTTATTCAGCCAAACATAAATTATCATAACTTGGGAACCAGTTATCCAAATTTAAAAAACTAACTCATTCTGAAAACGTCTTTATTACTTTATTGTCAAAGTAAGAGATTCTATCGAATCTCTTACTTTGACAATAGTTATTACAAGTTTTACTGCAGAATATTGTTCAGTTGACCATAAGCATTAAAAAAAACCAACCAAAAAATAGGTTTCTTTTCATGGTTAATTTTTGGAAAGTACTTTTACAATTTTATTGGGCTGAACCTTTTTTTAGTTTGACTATAATTGAAGTTATTGTCAATTTTTCTTTACACAGAGTCACAATTTTTAATGCGAATAATAACAGAAGATTATGTACCATCTACAAATCAGTTATAGTCAATTTTTGATAAATAATCAGGTTTTATTCAGAAATTAAATTAAGGGGCCCATTTTAGGCACCTTCCACAGAAAATGGGCTCCTAGCATAATGTTGTTCAACGGTTATTACTCATAGTAAGGCATAGTTACACTTTTAATTTTCTGGTGTTAAATTGTAGAAAATGGATTGAATTTCCTGGAAAAAATTTGTTTGTAATTTTTGGTTGGTTACAGCTAGTTGATTCCATCATTTTTTGAAAAGGGGCCCATTTTAAGTCACTCTTCCCTATAGTAAAATCGTGTGAAGTGCCTATTAATAATTATTATGTTGAGCTTGATCAAAAAGTGATAAAAATGATCACACGAAATTTTTGTGAATGTTATTTGTACAAAAATTAGGAACTTTTTTTAAATTTAATTAATTCAAATTTTAAAAATAAAGAAATAAGTAACTTTAATGTATTGTCAATTTATTTTTATAAAACAAAATGGATTTCACAAATAGGATTCGGCATTTATCTTTACGGCGAACAGATGTTTTTTTTTTGTTTTGATGAAAGAATTTTTTTTTTTTTTGACCATATAAATTTGAAAGTATAAAATACGAGTTGCTATCAATTATTAAATATAGCAGTAACTATTAGTGAAATTCGAACAATGTTCAAGGAAAAGTTTGCGGAGTACAAAAAAAGATATAGTATTACTAATAAAACAAAAAGAAGAAAATATTCTTAAACTCATTAGTGCGAACGCAAAAATAACGAGCGGTTGACAACAAAAAGCTGAAACAAACATTAATGACAGCGTAGAAAAAATCAAACAGTTGGAAAAGGATGTATTTGATATAAAGGAAAGTTTAAATTTTCATGAGGAACTCATCGAAAAAAAGTCAAAAATAATATTGTGTTTATTTAAAAAAAAAAGAGTTTGTATTAACGAAGCACATAAAAACGATGAGTTTATTGACTTTAAAAAAAAAATTAGAGAAATTGAGGATCGGTCACAAAGAAATAACCTTAGAATTGATGGCATCAAAGAAAATATAAATGAAACGTGGTCTGTAAGTGGAATAAAAGTGATTAATCTTTTTGAAGAGACTCTAGGGGTGGAAAATGCGAGAATTGAACGAGCGTATCGCCGTGGACACGGAGATACAAAAACACCACGCATAATTATTATTAAGCTGTTAGACTACAAAGATAAGGTAGAAAAATTTAAAAATTGTACGCAAGTGGGTGTCTAAGAAAACGAACGAAACCCCGAATCCGTTTCAAGTTAGGGTTAGGGTTTTTTATTTTCTTTTAACTATTGCTAACTATTTTATTAAATATTTTGCGTTTATTTATATGTGCTTTACTTTAAAATGGGGGAAAACTTTATCAGATGAAAATGTCGTACTCAGTGACGTCGATGACTCTAACAAAATTAATCAAAAAATATCTGAAAGCCAATACTATACAGTTATTGAATCTTCTCAATATCTTCAAAAAAATAAAAATAGTTTTTCAGTTTTAAACATTAATATTTGAAGTTTAAATAAAAATTTTGAAAGTAAGTTAAGTTTTTCTTGGGTGAATTAAAACACGATTTTAAAATTATTTGTGTAACGGAAACTTGGTGTAAGCGTGGTGAAACAAATGCCCAATTTGAACTAATTAATTACTCATCAGTTCACCAACCACGTGGTTTTGGAGTTGGTGGGGCGTATGTATTTTTATTCACAACTCAATTAGTTAAATGAGATATATTTTGAGGCATTATGAATGAAGTCATTGAGAATTGATAAATAAAACCGCAAAAAAAAAAAAAAATTATTAATGCCACATATAGACCTCCATTTACTAGCTTAAAAAAAATCTAAAACTCATCTTAAACTATTCTTAACAAATATAAATAAAACCCGAATGCCTACTTAGTTGGGGATTTATGTTATTTCTATTTGTGTTATTATTTATGTTATTTGTTTTATGTTATTTGATTTATGTTATTTCTATGGTGTATATTAATTTATTTACTTTTTATTTCTAAATCTTAGCTTAAATTTTTAAGTTTTATGCAAATGATAATATCTTGTTTATTTTTTCTTATTCACTAGATCTTACTCTTTCCTTAAATTTTGATTCTTTAAGAACTTAAAAATAAAATCACTTTTAAAAATTGCTTCTGATATCTAAGGAATGGGAATGAAAATGTCACCATTTAGAAATATAAACATTGGCTTTTTACTTAAGAAAATAAACACTTTTTTCAAAAAAGGTCTTTTTATTGGAATTAAATGATTTACTTTTATTGGTTTGCATATTATATTAAAAGTATTATTATTTATATAAAAAGCTGCTTATTTTTAATTTGTAAATGGATTAAGTTGTCCGGAACCACCCTTCAAACCTGTGTCAGATACCACCCGATCATACCTCATTCACAAATACTTGTTTTAAAACCAATAAATTAAAGTATTAAACGATTTTTGTCTTTAATCAATAAAATGTTATTAGCTTACATAAATTTTAGGTATATTAATGTTTTTACCTGTTTTTTGCGGAATAAAAAAGAAGCTGCCTGAAATGCAAGCCCGTCTTACTCAGGGCCAGTGTATAAGGGGTGGCATGTGTGTGCATAGAGAGACAATACCCTCGACTCCCCTATAGCATACATTCTTTTACGTAGGCAAATTAGGACATTTAGTCATCAAATTAACTTTGTTATTTGTTAGATGATACGATATGGTTTTTTTTAAGCTAATATTTATTCAAAAACATTTTGGTGTTAACAAGTACCTGTTAATTATGATAAATTAATAGAACGAACCATTAATACGGATTTATTTTTTAACTAGTGCGTACGTACTTTTAACCCCCATCCCCCATACGCTTTCGTACGCTATTAGAAGATAACTTCCCCTTTCCCTTATGATCATACATACTTTAAGGACGACCCTATTTCGGAAATTTTCGTACAACCTTACACTCTGTAAAATTGATTTAAAAATGCATTAAATCATTTCAAAGATTTTTACGCAAATCACTATTTCAATATTAATATAAAAAATCTTCATAGTAAATATATTTACAAAATTTTTTCAGAAATCATAACAGTAGCAATGTATAGGAATTTATCAAAAGCGTTTGTAAATTAAAAAAAACATTTTATTTATACAAAACATTATAAAAACCTAAAAATTGTAATGTTATAAATGTCGAATAAATCTAAAGCTATGAAAAAAAACAAAAAAAAACAAAAAAAAAACAACGTTAAAATAACAATGAACCAAAGAAAAAGCGCAAAGTAAGCAGTTAGCATGTTTGCGTATTTGAACCAATACATTCTGATATATATGTGATTTGAAATAAATAAACACTAAATATATAGTATATAAACACTAAACAAAAAGAATACAATTTTTTTAAAAAAAAAGTTTTGAGTAGAAAAATTCTAAAAAATTAACCGTTATTTATAGAAATTTGCAATGCAATTCGCTTTACAAAAAAAGTAAACAGCAATTTATCATTTGCCTTGCTTCATTTGTAACTGCATCTTCTCAATCATTTCTTGCATACGTCGAAGCTTAGAAAAAAAATGCATTTTAAAAACGTTATATATATGTATATATATTTTTTGTTTTTGTTTAAGTGACATTGTTAATAATATATTTTATATTTAATTTATAAAAAACATGTTCGGTTATATATTATTTTTATTATTTAATAGTGATATTTCGGCTTATATAGAATAAGCCATTATCCAAAAAAAAAAAAAAAGTAGTTTGATAAAATATCCGGAATATATTTTCCCTCATTTCCCTTATTTTCCCTCCTAATATTTCTCTTTTAATTTCCCTTATTTCCCTCTTAATTAATTAAAAACTTAATCTTCCTTTATCTGTCTTATTTTTGTTTTTAGTTGAGCTGTTTTCAATTTTTTTTTTAACTTTTCTTTATTTTTGTATGAGTAATATTATTACATACAGTTAAAACTATACAAAAAAAAAAAAAAAAAAAAAAAAAACAGAGCTAAACTTGATAAGAATAGAAAGTGGGAGAGGCCGAAAAAAAAGATCATACATCACTACACCAAGAAATAAATTGACAATTATTTAGAAGATATTTGTGTCAAAAGCCATATAAAAAAGTACCAAAACAATTGCTAAAATTATAAAATAAAAAGATAACAATTTTAAACAGAACTACAGACCCCAAAAAAAAAAAAGAAAAAAAAAAAGCATAGATTTTTGTCAATAAATTGTCAAAAAAAGTCAACAAATTGTTAAGTATAGCTTAAAACAAAAGATATGAGAACTGGAAAAGTAATTTAGCTAAAAAGTGTTCAAAAATGTTGAGCAATCAAGAAATTTTGCAGAATATAATAAAAACCAAAACAAAAAGAAACAAAAATAAAATTGCCATTTGAAAGTTTATTTAGAAAAGATTAGTTATAAAGAAATTAAACAATAAATTTATTAAACATTGTAGAAAATGAAAGTATAAAAGACAATTTAGAAAAATAAAATTTAATACTAATCTTCCCTTTTCACTCTAAACACATTAGAAAAAACATTGGAAAAATCTGCTATTGTGTCATTATTGAAATAAGTTTTTAATGCACTGAGTGCAATAACTCTGAAAGGAATGAATTTTTATAAATAAAAAAATTTTTTTTGTAAGGTTTAAGTATTGTTGTGTAAATTATTTAAACAAACATATATATAAACATATATTACACACATATATATTTATATATATGTGTGTAAATATATATATATATATATATATTTATATATATGTGTGTAAATATATATATATATATTTATATATATGTGTGTAAATATATATATATATTTATATATATGTGTGTAAATATATATATATATATATATTTATATATATGTGTGTAAATTTATATATATATATATATATATATATATATATATATTTATATATATGTGTGTAAATATATATATATATATTTATATATATGTGTGTAAATATATATATATATATATATATATATATATATATATATATATATATATATATATATATATATATATATATATATATATATATATATATATATATATATATATATATATATATATACACACATACATATATATGCACATTAAATGTAGTCTTTAAAAATGATGATAGCAATAACATAAATTACCTCAAGTTCTTTTGCTTTAAGCATTTGGTCCTTGTCTTCAGCTGAGCCATCATTAGCATCATGCATTTCAGATGAAACTCTGAAGCAAAAAATGAAAAAGAATTTTTATAATATATATAATATATAAGCAAATTTATAATTAAAAAAAAAAAACGAAACTATATGATTACCGCTTTGGCTTGGATCCCGGAGTTCCTGGAGGTGTACTAAGTCGTTGGGCACGGTAATTTTCATAATGGTAATCTTGAGTAACCTCTTTCAAATCTTGCATGTACGTACTGCAAAAAAAATTAGGATTAGGTTTAACTTCAAATACAAAAAAGATTTCAAAATTGGCTCTTATTTTTATTAAAAAAAAGACATCAACATTATTTTTTTTATAATTTTTGATATTACTATAGTTTGAACCCATCCATAAAATAAAAAAAAAAGATATCATTAACATATTTATCTTTATTTATCATTTGTCATTAAAAAAAAGAATACAATGCCGTGTTATATAAATAAAATCTACATGACCAGGGCTAAAAGAAGACAATATTTGCCTTATCACTACACCCCAAAACAATATTATTAGTGTTGAGAGAAAATTATCACAACTAAAAAAAGAGTAGCTTCCTTAACTGCATTGGCTTCCTTGGTTTTAGAAATGTAAATACGTTTAAAAAAAAAAATTTAATGCATAATTTATTTATTTGTAGAAAAAAAACTTAAAATTAAGCTTCACTTGAATTTACTTTTGAATCAAGATAACTTTTTCTTTGGATCAACTGTTGTTTACAATCCATGAATAAATATATGAGCTTTCTTACCTAAATGTAAGTATCTTTATTAAACAATGTTTGTCTCACAAACTTTGTTTGTGATTGTTTTTTTAGCTTGTTTTTTGATTAGAAAAAAATCCTAATATTTTTAAGTTAAAGTTTTGAGTTAGCGGATTCTTTCTGCTCATCCAGACAATAACACCTTTGTAGCAACCAGCAAGGTCTCACTTCAATGGTCATCTAGTATGTCTTCTAGTATTCCAATGTGATTGGTAAGTTCCTTATTTTTTAATTTTCGATCAGGAAAAAATTTATTTTGATATAATTTTATTTAAGAAAAACTAAGTTTTCACATTTGTTAATATTTTTATCAATAAAAAAATGAACATTTTATAAACAGATATAGAACGTTTTATGAATAGTTATGCAGCTTTTTGACCAGTATTAGCACATAGTTTATAAAACTTTTTGACCAATATAAATTATAGAAAGAATGCTTTAAAATACAGCATTTCTTTATAAATAAAACTATTGAAAAGATTAATTACTTAATTAACTATATAAAAATATAAAAAAGGAAACTAAAAGTAAAAAAAAAATTAAAATATTTACATGAGCATTGTTCTTAACTTAACAAAGTCACTGTGAGCAGGATTTTCAACTAAAAATAAAAATGAATAACTTTTATATCAAGTAGATAAATAACAACTAAAAAAATTAGGTAAAATAAAAATTATATAAAATAAATTACTTTCGACAACGCCCCAAGGATATTGCCTCCCTCTGACCTTCTTTCCTTTAATATCAACCATACAGTTACTTCCCACCACAGCGTAGGGTACTGCCATCTGAAGAATATAAAAAAATTTAAATGGTCTTATTTTTTAGCTTCTGTTATCAAAATAAACACTGGTTAAAACTTTTTAAATTTTTTTCAAAACAAAGTTTAGCTACTTTTAGTTCTTTTGCAAGCTGTTTAAATTCTTCATCTTCTTCGTCTTCGTCACAATCTGGGAAATTATATATCTTTATTTTCCTTTCACGAATTTCAGATATAACCTTGAATAAAAATGTTTATGTTTTATTATTTAAATTTAAAACTATTTTAACTCTATGCTATTGGTATTTTAAAAAAAAACAACAACACAATCAAAACAATAATATTGATAAAATTTGAGAAAGGTTTTGTTAGCATATAAAAATTTAAAAATATAAAAATTTAATATTATTATATTATTATACTTATTTTATACAAATACTTATATAGAGTAGAGATATATCATTACATTAATTACTTTCCAAATGATGTTTTTTTATGTTACATTAATTATTGAAACCATTGAGTTAAAGATATTAACTTCGAAAAAGGTACTATAAAGGTAAATGATCATAATAAGTTAATATTTAATGTTAACTTCAATGCAACCAAAAAAGAACCAAACAACCACCTTTTTTATGAATTGGTTAGCTGATTCAAATTCAATAAAGTTGTTTAAGCTAGTTATGTTGTGGGTGATGAAAAAATAGTTTAGACTTTACAGCTTTAAAGGTCAACTCTTGGTTGGTGCATTAAGAATAGACACACTAGTTAAATTTCTAATATTTAAGAAGTTTATCAGTTCCTAAATGCCAACAGTTTGAATGCTAATGAAATTTTTTTTTCTATCAAAAAAATTGCACAACAACAAAAAAAAAGATTGCATAACCTTACCTTTGATTTCAATGCTAATAATTCATTTTTTGTTAGAGTGTCTGCTTTACCTATTACAGGAACTATGTTCACACGTTCATGAAGCAACTGCATAAACTTTATATCTACAGGACGTAATCTAAAATAATGTCAAATAATATTGTCAAATGATTGTTTATAAGTTTCTATTGAACTTATCAGGGTTCCCAGCCTACATTTAGGGTAATTCCATGTTTATTTTTATTTATATGCAATTGCAACTAAATAAAATGCAAAATAAAATTATATTTACTCCAAGTTACATAAATATTTCTAAAGCTTTGTTAACATTTGAAATTCATCTATACAATAAGACTACAGTATGACGTTACTATTTCACCTTTTTTGTCTAACCAATATAAGAGCTATACATTTACTAAGTTGTTATCTCATAAAACTTAAATATTGTTTTTGCAATATCAAATTTTAGCTTACCTTTAACAAAAGGAACAATACCAAACTAAATTTGATATTTATTTGATGCTTTGATGAAAGCTTCACCACAGCAGAACCAGAAAACAATGAGCTAAGTTTTGCACAATCATTTTTATGCTGACATAAAACAATAACTTCAGTTTACAACTTGTAAAGCTTGCATAATTTTAGCATGAGAAAATTAGTCATCTATAATTTGAACATCAAAAAAATCTGACTGATCCATTGAACTGCTTTTGATTGTTAGATATTCTACAAGGATTTTTGCTAATTTGTTTTTTACTTTTATCATGCTTTAAAAGTTGACTAATACCACTGGAAGGTGTTTTGAAAGATATTTTACAATGATTTGGAGATTTTCAACTTTAACTTAATTCTCAGCGCCTTGTTTGTCAAGGTTCGTATTTCAGAGTTAAGAGAGGATAGTATCTACAACTGTAGCCTCCACGACTGGTAGCAGCCTTAATGGCTGTGGGGAAGTAAATTGAAATTAAAAAAAAATAAAATTACTATAAGCTAAACTTAAACTGTGGTTAAACAACTGAAACTTACTTATCTACATTACCAACATCTATCCAAGATGTTGGTAAGTTGTCATACCCATTTATATTATGATTAATATATATATATTTTTTAATTTATCAATATTTAGTTACATTTAAGTTAACCTTAAAAATGTAAATTTTAAAATAATTTAACTAAAATCAGTGCCCTGCTAACCCCAAAGTCATGCAAGAACCCTGCATGGGCCTCAAGCTTTTTATTATAGAAGGGAAAAAAAATTACTTTACTATATTCTTTAAATGATCAACAAATAATTCCTTACTTTATTTATGCTTTGCAATTTAAATTGCAAATTAGTTAAATGCCAATTAAATAAAATGCAAATTAAATTAAACTTTGAGCGATAGTATATTAGTATTTTGCATAATATATCTAACATAAATGTTAAACATAAATGAGGGCCAATGTTAGATAATTGCACACATTATCAAACATAGGCCTCAAAAATAATTTTAACAAATTTAAATAAATTTAACAATTGCATTAAATTAAAGAAACCTGATTTTCAAGTATTAAAAAATGTTTCTAGTAAAATTAAATTAAAAGTGTTTGAATGTTGTTTCTAATGGTTCACCAACCACAGGATTATTTAATTGTAATTAAAGTTAACCAAATCCAGCAAAAAAAGACATTTTTAGAGAAAACCTGTTTTAAATAGCATAAAACTTTATGACTAATAAATAAAACATAAATAAGGAATCTTAAAACATGAGTAATTTAAAAATTGATTATTTCCATTTTTGCATGATTATTTAACAAAAATACATGCTTTAACATGCTTTGCATGCCCATAAATAATTTTATTTTTTGTATGCTAAGTAGGAAAATTAAATTGTAAACTAAATGTAAGCTTCGTATCTGTCGTATCTTCGTATCTGTCCGCACTGCATATTCTTTAACAAGGTGGTCATCAAAAAGTTTTTTTTTGGAAATAGTAATGAATATCAGCTAATCTAAAATCTGATATTTTTTGTTAACTTTCCTAACTTTTTTAAAATACATGTACACTTCGTATCTGTCCACATTATGTATTCTTTAACAATGTGGTCATCAAAAAGCATAGTTTTTTTTTGGAATTAGTAATGAATATCAGCTAATCTAAAATCTGATATTTTTTGTTAACTTTCCTAATTTTTTAAAATACATGTACACTTCGTATCTGTCCACATTATGTATTCTTTAACAATGTGGTCATCAGAAAGCAACAATTTCTATAGGAAAGAATAATGAATGTCAGCTAATCTATATTCTGACATTGTATCTGACCTTCCAAAATTATGTTTTTAATTCTTTAAAAGGAATCCTAAAGTGAAAGTATTGTACTCAAATTGTATTTGTTAACACAAAATTACTAAAGTGCTACAAAAGCCAATTGTATTTTATTGTGATATAAACCATTGAGAAAATCTATGCACAATCTGTTTGACCACATCTACTGTTTGTTGTACAAGTATGTAATGTTTATTCAAAAAAACATATACTACAGGTCTTGTTTTAAATAAAAAATGCTTAACACATTAGCCTAATGTGAATTTGACATCTTAAAATTCTCTTTATTTTTTTTAGACAAACTTTTTTAAACAACTGCATTATTATTATTATTAATTACCGCAAAATGAATTAAATAAATATTAAATAAATGTAGAAATTCTATTATGAAATGTTTATTTTCATTCATTTTTTAAAATATTAAATAATTAAATTTAATATTACATTGTTTGATATAAATAAATTTCTTTCTTTTCTCAACATATGTATAAATAAATTAAAATGTGTTAAATTTTATTAAATTATTATTTTTAAAATTTCTTATTGCGACTTTGCAACTAAAAATGATTTTTTATTTAAAAAAAAATTAGCGAGTAACAAATAAAAAAACTATGTTAATTTATTTACTTTATTTATTTAAAGTTTATTATTTTATCAGCGATTTTGTTGTGAAAACAAAGATTATTTTTCCAAACACCATTTATTAAAACTATATCACAGCATATACCATTTATTAAAAAATAATAGCTGCACTTTAACTTGCGTTATAAAAAAAAGTTTATCATCCATTTTGTGTAAATTTTTGATGCAGCCCCAGAACACATTTACAAGGAATTAAATTTTTAGTTAAAAAAAAATAATAAAAAATGTTTAGGAAGGAAAACCAAAAAAAATAATTGCGATAAAAATTAGCTTTTTTTTTTTTAAGAATAAATAAAATTTAAATATTGAACAATATTTAAATAATATTGTATATAATAATAAAATATTAACTAATAAATTTAAAAAAATTTTGATAGTTAGGTAAACCCAAGCATCAACCTTAATTTTATTAAACTTAAATATATATTTTTAATCAAAACTAACTTATATACTTTTTCATCAGAATAAAATCATATATTTTAAATTAATTAATTTTAAATTAAATCATATATTTTTTATAAAAATTAAATTATATTTATTACGATCTTCGCTTCAAGCTTGAAGTATCAGCATTTTTTAAGCTAAAACATCAATTATTACAGTAAAATAAAAACAAAACTAAAACATAATATAAAAAAATAATTTAAAATAAAATTTAACTTTTTTTTTTTTTTTCAATTAATTTTTTTATCATTAATTAGAAATTGATGTAATTTTTTTTTTGCAATCAAAAGTTGTATAAATATTCTTGTGCTCTCAATAATAGTTTTTATTGTAAATATTTCTTTTATGATGCTTTTTCACATTTTGTTTAATAACTTCTTATACAAAAAAAAATTTGTCATTAACTATAAATAATTTTGTTTTCTAAGTATTATAAAATAATTAGATAATATAGATTAAGTTTTATTAGTTAATTTTATCTGAATTTTTTTTCATTAGTAAATAGCACTTATACCTAACATTATTGCTATTCAAACTTTTTATTATATTAACTGTCATAATATATATATATATATATATATATATATATATATATATATATATATATATATATATATATATATATATATATATATATATATATATATATCAACAGTTATTTTAGACTGTTTTTGACAGCGTCAACAGTATTTGGGCGCCACCCAAATTAAAGTTAGAGGACCTTGTATATTTAATTTAATTATTAAATGACTAATTTAAAAGTTAAATATTCATAAAATATATCAACTTATTATTTATAATTATCAGTATATATCAATTTGAAAATAGTTTAAATCATGCTAAATGATATACGAGCAGGGTTGAAAAGTAGTGACATAAAACATTAAAAAAAAAAATGTTTTAACTGTTTTAACATACATTTTTCATTAGCAGAATAGTTAAATTTACAATTTTAACCTTAAAGATAAATGTAAAACTGTTGGTTGCCCTACATTAACCCTTTAATGGCAACCTATAATCTTATTCATTGTCACAGAAGGACAAAGAATGAATTAAACTTGGAAGATCTAGAATGTATCTAACTTTTTTAAAGGACTTCACTTTTTGAAATACCCAAATATGGTATACTTCTAAAAAAGATTTACATTTTCTTAGCATCAATGATAATGCTAGAAAATGCATTACATTTTATATAAAAACTATGAATCCTTCTATGACAAATTTTGAGTAAAAATTTTTTTCTTATGGGCCGTATAAGTGATGACTTTCTTAAATTCTACAGAGTATTAGACTTTAACGAACTCTACTATGATTTAATTGCAGATTAAGCCAAATTCATCATAAACATTTTTTATAGGGATTGAATTTGGTGTCCTTCCATTACAATGAATGTGTGTCCTTTAGTGACAATTGGATTACTTCTTGATTAAGTTTATTTTATACTTGTGTAACTATATTTTATGATAAGATTTTTTGTTCCTTTTTGCTTTCAGACTATAACTAATTTAAAAAAATATGGGAAAAAAAGGGTTCACAAAGACAGAAGGAATATTTATTTAGACTGAAGCAAACTAATAGCGAGAAATACCTTTAAAAAAAAAAGTGAGCGAAAGAAGAAGAAAGTGAGCGAAAGAAGGCAAAGATAGAACTTTTAAAGCAAAACACAAAAGAATATAAGTCTAGGTTGAAAAAAGACAGAAAAAGAGCTTTGAAAAAGAAATAGGTAAAAATGTTAAAATATTGTTTTATATGTAATTAGCACTTTTTAGTTGCAAATATTTTTGCTTTTATTGTAAAATTATGCCATTTATTTTGATTTTTGTATGTTATTCATAATATAATTTATTATAATTCCTAATGTATTTTATTAATATGTTTATTTTTACTCATTTTTTCTCTTTGGATAAGAATTATCTTATTTTCAAATGGAAACAGCACACAAAGATGGAAACAGTACACAAAGAACAAGTGGTATATCGTTAATTAGCCAAATTAAAACGAGCCAAAAACAAGTCCACTTCAAGTTAAAGTTTTATCTGCTCTTGTGCAAAGTTTGTCACCGCAAAAAAAAAGCAACATTTTTTTTAATTCTAGAAGAAAGCTATCTTTTAAAATTGCAAGGCCATCGATGATACATGTAAACAAAGGAAAAGTAGTTCAATTTTTAGAACAACCAGATATAAGCTATTGTTCCACAGGCAGGAAAGATACTATTTACTGCAGAAAATCTGATGGTGTCAAAGTCTATCGTTCAAAGCATTACATACAGAGAACTTGTTTACTTATTTAATAAAGAGAAAATTATTAAAATCACTAATCATCAGTTACGAGAAGTTATTAATGCTGAAAATAACCTTATTATGCTAAGTAAAACACCAGAAGAGGATTGTCAATGTGAAACTTGTGAAAATGGTAAACTTTTGCTATAGCGATAGAAAAATATTTCATCAAAGAAAAAAAAAATGGAATTGGTGAAAATCTGCCAGCTGAACCACTGGATCTTGTGGAACTTGGTGTATGCTCTGTCAAGTCACTTATATGCATGAAAGGCAATTGTTTAAAATGTCCTGGAAGAACCAAAATATCGGATATGTGTCAAGAATTAAAAATTGATGTTTTTTCATATTACCATTGGATAACTTCAAAAAAGGTTGTTTGCAAAGTTCAAGAAAAAGCTACAGGTGATGGTAGAAAAACAAGAATGCATAAGTATAATATTTACTGTCAATTTTCAGAGTTAAAATGGCTGAATGCAAATCTCAAAAGAAATGAAGTAATAACAAATGTCAATTTTTCCAAGAACTACGAAATTAAATAACTCCACGAGATCCAGAGTGCTTGTTTTGGGCATGAACAATTTATCATATTTACAGCAGCTTGTTACTTTCATAAAAGTATTACAGTTCAGAATAGTAAACTTGATAAAAATTTTAATTTGGTGAAGTTTCCAGTAGCAATCATATCAAATGAAACGAAACATGATCGCAATGTTAAATTTAGAAACAATAACCGGCTTATAAACATAACCAAGGGTATAGCTCCATCAGTTTCCACTTCATTTCTGGAGTGACAGATGTGCTGGTCAGTTCCGATTTCAATTTGTCTTTCAATCCTTCTCTTATTACCCTGAAAATATTACATTGACTTGAAGTTATGGTGAGGCACATCACTTTAAAAGAACCCATGATGGAATTGGTGGAACTATTAAAAACCAAGTTTACAGGGAAGTTTTGTCAGCTAAAGTTATAATTGAAAATGCTAAACAATTTTTTGAAGTAACTGATCTGCTGTGTAACATTACAGTAATCTACTTAGACACAAAAGATATTGAGTCACCAAATTTAAATGATAGCATTTACACTCATGGAACTTTAAAGGTTCACCATGTTAGATGATTAAATCTAAATTCAATTTACTTATACTTAAACAGCACCTTTAAAAAATCATTAGATGTTTTTACATCATTGACATGGGAAAAAAATAAAATAGAAGCTGAAGAGAAAAAATTTTTTATTGATAATGATGAAAAAATCTATGAAGTCTATGAAAATTTTGTTTCTGTTTGCTTAAAAAAGAATTATACGATAGCTTCATTAATGTGTACTTTTTTTCCTTCCATGACATTAAATGACTTTAATTGATTTGGAATAATTTTTTTTTTTTTTTAAATATTTGCCAAGAACACTTTTGTAAATTTAACTTAAAGGTCTTATACCTTTTTAAAGAAACTTTTTTTTTTGCCGTATCTCTATCAAGTTTGATAGAATTTAAACCCTAAGTAGAAAGTAAATTTTACAGCTTTTCTATCATTCCTTCTGTGACACAAGTTTTAAAGGCTTATAGCAGAAACTTTATAACTCTACAAATAATGTCTTTAATCCCAATTACTATTGTTTTATAGGTAGTTTCTAAAACAT